AAAAAAAAAAAAAACCTTAGCATCCATTAGTTACTTTTCAGTTCAATTTTAAGCAGAAGACTGTACAGCCGAACTACCAGCTCTGCTTTCTCACCCCTGAGGTTTTAATACGCTCAACTGAACAGGCAGTTTGACCTTGACCGTTTGATACCGTAAGGTTTTTTCCTCTTTTCCCTAACATCTTCTATCAATGTTCCAATTTCACTCCTGTGATGAGTCCCCATAACGAACAGCTCCTTCCATATTGAAGAAAGGTACGAAACAATAATTAAAAAAACCCCTTTGTCTGCCACACAAGTACCCAGAGTCTAAGTGCGGGGTATCCACCTTAGGCTGTGTTTTACACTCGGTCTGCAGCAGAGCTCCCACAGGTGTCAGCTGAAGATCCGCACGCTGCTCAGGTGTGCCCACGGGGTGTGGGGTGTACCTTCCTAGATGCTCTTTTGCCTAACGAGCTGTCTGTACAATGCAATTCATGTTCACAACTCCTTTTGAGGTTGAGACACTGTTGATGGTTGTTCTGGCTGTAGGTACCATGATGTGATTACCATCATCCATACCAGCTTTTGATAACGTTATTTTGGCAAAACTGAGGAACAGTTATGTGCAGTATGACTCGCCAATAGCTCAGATATCCAAATTGATTTCAAGCCTTTTGGTGTAAGATGAACAAATGTTTGCTGTTATTGGAGAATACCCTTCTACACTGGCTGAGAAAAAATTCGGGGCACCTTGAGAGCACAATGTTTACTCAAAGGATAAACTATCAGCCTGCTTCTTACTGTGTTGACAGTGCAGGGTCAGCCTTATCCTTTAGAAAGTGTTTTGATCTCCAGCAAAGATGCAAGTCAGGCCCGATTTGTCTGTCTGTCTTTTAAATAGCAAGCAGAACTCTTCATAATTCCACACTACAAAAATTTTGTTCAAAACTAGAACAACTTCTTGCCTTGCTTCTATAAGGTGAATTAGGTGATAAAATTAATAAAAAAATAAATAAATATATTTTTCCTTCCAAAACCTTTGCAGTAGCATGCCTCATCAGGAGGTCACACATTCGATAAACAACTCATCACGCCAAATGCGCCCAAGTGAGGAACGCGTCCTGCACGGTCAATCGTAGTAATTCATAGGTTCATAAGCCTGCTGTAATGACTTTCTTACAACTAGCAAACTAACAAAACTGTGTCTGGTGCGTGAGGTCTGAAAAGGTGACATACCACTCAAGTCTGAGACCTACTTTTTTTCCTAAGAACAGAAGGAACACTGAAGTGTCTTACCTCTCTTTTGCAAGAACAGCAAGTCCCTGTAGCAAGATAGGTACAACCGTCTGATCCAAGTAGGCACGTGTGGGTAACGACTGAAGATCCACCTTCTGCTTTGATGTTTTCTCTGCATTTATTTTCTCATTTTCTACTATCCTCTGAAGTAGAAAAAAAAACCAAAGTGAATGAACATTGGTAACAGTAGACACAGCTACTTTGAAGTGTGAGTGCAAACAGAGTGCCCATCTCTCTGCAGTCCACTGGCAATAGCTTCTTTACATCTTTTGAGAACATTGAAGTGCGTATTTTTACTTGTGCAAAAACCTAATCCAGAGGAGCCTTCCGTTAAATTCTTGTGTTATTTATTATTATATACAAGCATCCCTGTCCCCTGCTCTCCTCCATCCC